CCGATTACGTGTTGTAAATGGAGGTCGTTAACCCAACACTCGGGTGTCTTCTTAATTGAAAGCCATAAACACATTAATATACGCATGGTTATGATGGTCACCGTAATTAGATAGTTTATAACACTAACTATATATAACAAATGTACCCGGTACACTCATTAATATAATAGACCTATTTCTGGAACTATCTAATTCCCTCTAATGTATCATAACCCTTAGATATATGGAAATAATTATTCGTAACGAAGTATTGTCATGTTTTTCATGTTGTTTTATACTTTTACAACCATGCTCTATCAACATAGCTATCTTATTAAAACTAGATGTTGTTTTCGTTCCCTTTGTTTGGTTAGGACATGTTTTAAAAAATAATGCCGTCCTGGTTCGCAGTGTACTTTAACCATGATTTGACAGAATGAAAATGTCTGGATAATCAAGCGATTTTGCAGAATTTTCTGTATCGTGGGTTTTGATTGGTGCGTTGATCAAGAGTCTTTATACCAATCACAATATACGTATAAACGTAGCATTCTATACAAAATCTCTTTATGGCAATGAAATATAATATTGTTTATGAAAACAGATGGTGTGAAGTAAACGAACGAAAAATAAATAACACGAAAAGAATTAATTAAACTGTTCGACTGAACAAAGGGTTGATTTACTGAGAGAATAATTAATTTCCACAGCCCGATCCCTTAACAGTGTGTTTACCTATGTAGGAAGTAAAATCTTGCATTTTCAAATGAAATCATACTTTTAAATGAGAAAATATTAGAACCAACATTAACCGCAAAATGATCGGTAAAGTGGAATCAATCAATTACGTCTTGGGGCTGTTCCATAGGCTATGCCTAAAATCATCTATAAGGGTGACAAAGTTTTCATTTTGAAAAATGAAATTATTCATATAGCGTATTGCGACTGGCAAAATATCTTAATCAAATCTGATTGGATTTCGGTTATAGGACAGTAAATAGATGAATATATAATGATTTAGTTGAATGGGATGATGGTCGAATTACCATCATTGACAGGTAAACTGTCAGTGTAACGGTAACTACAGTAACTATGATATCATATATGGAGTAAATGTGTAATTGAAAATGACGTTTTCCTAATTACACATCAATACTTCCCAGCTTAATCAATGATTTGTTGGCGTTACTAACATCATCTTATAGGTTTATGGTAAATTAATATTCTAATGAATTTCTACTTTAACAGTCCATAATCATAACTTTTGCATAATAACAGAAGTACATACAACAAATTCGAATCATGTGGTATATCATAAATTTTAACACGATGATCTTTACCATACTAATCATGCTGTATAGCCATAGCAAGATTATGGCTAAAGTAAATATTACACGATGATTTCTACCATACTAATTATTTTGCGTAGGAAGATGCTGGTTAAAGTAAATATAACACGTTGATCTCTACCATACTAGTCATTTTGCGTAGCAAGATGCTGGTTAAAGTAAATATAACATGATGGTCACTAAAACACTAATCATGTTGCATAGCCATAGCATGTAGATATACCATGATGATCTCTATCATTCTAATCACGTTGTGTGCAAAAAGCTAGATGATGTCATGTAGATATAACATGATGATCTCTATCATACTAATCATGCATGTATTTGCATAGCCATAGCATGGTGATATGTAGATATACTATTCAAAAAAAGTAGGGGATATTTGATTTTGGGGGCATAATACTAAAATATGCAAATGACTACGAAAAAAGTCACTATAGAACCTAACAGAAGAAACATTTCCAGTTACATGTGATGCCCAAACGCACCAATAGCTACCGCATGGAATGCAGGTGATGCTTGGGATCATCATGGGGGTCCAACCCAAGATTTGCACGACTCTGACTTTGAATGTTACAGTCATTGTGGCATTGAATTCCAGGGTGGAAACATCAGTTTAATTGTTTTAGTGACCAGAAAACAAATTTTGATATGCGTCGGCTTACCCAAAATGAAAGGTTACGTGCCCTTGGCATGCTACAGATCGGCACAACACAGGCGGTTGTGGCGCGGACGATGAATGTTTCTCAGTCTGTCATAAGCAGGCTATGGTCCAGATACCGTGATACACAATCTGTACAGGACAGACCACGCTCAGGTCGACCAAGGGCGACAACTCAAGCCCAGGATCGATTTATCCGTACCTTGGCCTTGAGAAATCGTGTCATCACAGCAAATCAGATCAGCGCTCGTCTTCAAACAGACACTGGTGTGAGAGTGAGTGGCCAGACGATTCGGAATCGACTGCATAGGGGTCACCTTCGCGCCCGACGTCCTCGCGTGATCCCTTGTTTGAGAGATCATCACATTCAGGCAAGACGTCGTTGGTGTAGGGATCGTCAACACTGGGACAATCGACGCTGGAGCAATGTGATGTTTTCAGATGAGTCAAGGTTCACTGTTGATTTTTTGGACAGACGTAGGAGGGTGTGGCGTCGTCGAAACGAGCGCTTCCAAGACGTTAACGTCATCAGACATGATCGATTTGGGGGTGGTTCTGTTATGGTGTAGGGAGGCATCACTGTTGCTGGAAGAACGGCTTTACATGTTGTTGCAGGGCGTGTTACAGGCCAGTACTACCGGGACAACATCTTGGCAGTCCATGTTGTGCCGTTCGCACGACGTCATGGCCGCCGTTTCATCTTCCAGGATGACAACGCAAGATGTCACAGGGCCATGATCGTTACAGGTTACCTCCAACAACAGAACATCACCACATTACCTTGGCCAGCACTGAGTCCCGACCTCTCCCCCATCGAGCATGTCTGGGACATGCTTGGACAGAGGTTACGCCAACGTCAACAACGTCCTGCCAATGTCCAAGAACTTGCTGCTGCGTTGCAACAGGAATGGGACAATCTGGACCAAAATGACCTTAGACGTCTCATTAGGAGTATGCCACATCGGATCAATGCTTGTTTGGCAAACAGAGGAGGATTTACCCGTTACTGACTTGGTTGTGATGCTGTGGTAACTTTGCTGTTTGACCCCGGGTATCATTTTACCCTTATAATGGTCAGTCTGTGCCTTACTTAGTCTAACGATCATTTGGAATAAATCGATGAATGTGAACTTCATTTCATTTTGTCATTTGTTTCTTCGTCAGTTTCATTAGGTGACTTTAATAACACTTAAAAATCAAATATCCCCTACTTTTTTTGAATAGTATATAACATGACGATCTCTATCATTCTGATCATGTTGTGTACAAATAGCATGATGATGGTTAAAGTAAATATAACACGATGATCTCTTCCATACTAATCATGTTGTTTAGCCATAGCATGGTGATGGTTCAAGTAAATATTCTAATGATGAATCTGGTTAAAGAAATAACAAAATCGAAGATATGCCACGTGGCATTTCACTAGAAATGACGCCCTTGTTATTTTCGTCCCAACGTATTGAGCACTTTCGGTTTAAATTGCCAACTTTTTAAAATGATTTTTCTATACTACAGTTCCGTGGATGTCCTTTTTTTCTCCAAGATTTTCTAATGCTCAACTGTTAAGAGCTGAAAACAATTTAAATATAAGGGCAGTTAAACTCTAGCAAAAGATCTAACGAAATCAACAGTTTCCATCTGCTTTAATATTAGAAAACGTTTTATGCCGACAAAAACATCGAATAGGAGTTTTTAATTCGCTTATTCTTCCGCGTCCATAAATTGTTGTATTGTGTGAAGTAATACATCACCCCAAAATATGCTAATTTCTTGTTAGCAGCTTTGCTAGAAAAAACATTAAGATTTAGATTAATGTAATTTAACTTTCGGTAAATGCGTAACCAACTATGTCTTTTAAAATTGTGATCTTGAGATGAAACCTGCATCCCAGCTAATGATATTATACGTAGTGAACAATAAAACCTTTACTAATGCGAACTAGATTTTTAAAGAAACCAAATGTGATTTTGTTATATTAAATCCGGCACAGATGGACTCAATTTAAAGTAACCAAGTCTCTAATTCAATATTATCCAAAATCTTTGACATTGAAAACACAAATTATTTGCCAAATGAATCAACATTGATGCCATGTTCTGATCTTATCGGGAAAAGATGGACTTCTGATATTCAATATTTAAGACAAAATAAACATTTTACCATTGGTACACGACTCGAAGAACGAGGCTAGAAATATTCCACAAGTCTTGTTAAACAGCGGCGCCATATTCTTATCTGGAGAGCATGCACAATAAATACTATCGGTGTAGACTAGAATAACCAGACGCTAGAGATTAAAACGGAAACGATTGAATGTAAATCAGTTTATATATGCGTTGGAACCCATTTGTGTTAATTTCTAGGTTTCAAATATTAACGATTTAGCTCCTTTTAACGTAAATTCATGGCCATTGTGAATACGCGATTATTGTTGAAAGTGTCTCTTAAGACAAATTAAAAATTAAAAGGTCTGTGAATATTGAATTCTACATTTGGAAGTCCCTAAGATAAATTCACTTTTCTTATAATTTCCTTTTAAATCGATATAATTTAAGTATTCCACAAGTCATGTCAAACGGTGACGCCATATTCTTATTTGGAGAGCATGCGCAATAAATACCATCGATGTAGAGTGGTATAACCAGAGATTGCCATTCGATTGAGACTTCTGGCGTATTTCGCCGAACATAACTGACTAGAAATTACAGTAAAAACAGAAACGATTAAATTTTAATCAGTTTATATACATTCATATTGCATTATTATATGCGTTGCAACCCATTTGCGTCAATTTCTAGCTCCTAAATATTACCGATGTAGCTCCTTTAAATTACAGCTATTGTAATGATTCCTATTTAAATGCCTTATTGTTTCATCATTATTCTAATTAAAAAATGAAAATCAGTAAAAAACGAAAGCGTGTCTGTATTAGTATTATAAATCATAATCAAACGAACCATGTTAAAAACCGGTACAGAAATGAAATCTGAAACAATATGGCTACTCACCTTTCTATGCTCATTACTGTTAATGTCATCACTGAACATATCATCGATACAGTTTGCATATAATAAACAAACTTACATAAAACTTCTCCAAATGACCATGTAAACGACACAAATGCAGCACACTGAAAACAAAATCGTTATATTTTGATTGTTATTTACATTAAGGCAGTCCGATAAGAAAAAATAATCGTAAAATAATTTGGCTATTATAAAATTACATGTATTTGATTTTAATGTGATCTGCTTTTGTAGAGTGAACGCCTGTCTCTGTTTTAAAACTTTAGGTCAACCTGTCGAGCCATTATAATATCTATTTTGTCCCATCCCTAAAGGAATTAAACAAGACAGACCAACCGGAATCATATCATTATTTCAACATAGTGTTTTTATTGTGCTCCGTAGGTAATTGCTACTCAATTATTATAGATCAAAGAGGTTTCGCTTATTTAATTCTATTGATACCATTTTGGAGAACTATTGAAACCCGCACTCCTCAATGGAGGCTGTTGAGTATGTGTTGCTAAAGTTATCATATCGCCTCCGCTCAGGAAAAGAGTTGAATTGGGATGGGGACATTAAGACATAGGTCTTAAACGTACGTTTTGTTTTGTTTAGTAATTATTAACTATAACTATGTTGGTTGGAAATACTTCTGCTGAGTTAAACTTTTCTGGTTATCAACAAAAGCAAACGGTGCCAACCATATCGATATGCCAAAGGATTGAAGTTATTGTTTAGAACAAATATAACAGAAAATCTTTCTAAAATCCTCTTCAAAGTCTAAAGACCCGCCGCCTCCAACAAGGCCATTTTTATACGCCCGTCCGTCCACAATTTGCTTGTGGACACTCTGCAAGTCACAATTTGTATTGGTTAATTAAAGGACAATATTGGTGCCAGTCATTATCACATATGTGATTGAACTGGTTAAAATCGTTCCAAATATTATTTTATCACAGAGATCATTGCTACGATAGATGAATAATCAATGTTTCAACAATAGGAAGTGACGAACGCAAAAGGAAAACACGAGTTATCCCTTTATATAACTGGCTGAAGTGACGGGTGATAACAGATACATGGGCGAATTTCTGCTCACTAAAAATTCCTTCGAAGACCAAAAATTGTTATATGAGACTGTAAGGGTATATCTGACAACATGCCAACAAACGAGTCAACACCCTACTCGCTTGTAAGGTCGTCTCCTTGCTAGTAGGTCACCCAACGATCCCTTATCCCTACGGTCGGAGGTAGCGAGGAAATGGTCGGATGGAAGATAGGCCAGTCTGTTTTACTGGCCAATCCCGAATCCCGGATAACGAGCCAGCACGTTATTCGGGATTCGGCAATAAAACAGGTAATTGCTGGAGAGGACTGCCCCGTGCATGCCAACAAACGAGTCAACACCCTACTCGCTTGATAATTGGTCGTCTCCTTGCTAGTCGGCCACCCAACGTTCCCTCATCCCAACGGTCGGGGGTAGCGAGGAAATGGTCGGATGGAAGATGGGCCGGTTTGTTTTACTGACGAATCCCGAATAACGTGCTGGCTCGCTATTCGGAATTCGGCAAAAAAACAGTTGATTCCTGGAGAGGACTGCCCCGTACACTCCAACAACCAGTCAACGCCCTACTCGCTTGACAAACGATCGTCTCCGTGCTGGTCGGCCATCCAACGTTCACTTACCCCTATGGTCGGAGGTTGCGAGGAAATGGTCGGATGCAAGGTAGGCCGGTCTGTTTTAGTGCCGAATCCCGAATAAAGAACTGACTCGTTATTCGTTATCCTAATCCCGAAAAACGCGCCAACTTCACATTGCCGCGAATTTTATGGAATCGCCTTACTGTACACGGATTTTGGAACTGTTTGCACGATTTGACAGGATCTCATTTTTATTCTATCATAGGGAATACTAGCAGCTCCAAGCTAACCATAACTTTAGATGGGTGTCATGGTCGCCCACCTTCAAACTGTGCACCTACAACGGGAAAATCGGGGATCGGAAAGCGTCCAACAAACGGGCCACCCCACAGTGTATTTACACCCCTGGCGGGGATGCAGCCTTTCGAAGTGGGGGGATCACGTGGCTAAGTGGGTAAGACGCTAGCTCGCTAGCCTGGAGGTCGGGTGTTCGATCCCTGCATTGGCCGAGAAAGTTCATCCAGATTTTCTGGCGTGGTTCTCCCTTGTCAGTGATGCAGGACGGAGGGGCTGACAAGAAAAGCTGTCTAGTCGTTCGGATGGGACGAAAAACCGAGGTCCCGTGTACACATTGGCGTGCACGTAAAAGATCCCTTGGCAGTTGGAATTCGATATAAGAGTAGGCCGTAGTGCCGCTGTCCGGGCAAAATTTCCCTCATAGCACACTGTATGGCGTATGCCCGTCTTCATTAGCCCAGGTTAGGAGCAGAACAGTAGGACATTAAACTCCATTTCATTTCATTTCATTTCCTTTCGAAGTGTAGGTTCAGGTATGTGTGTTTTATACTCCGGTGTTTTGAGTCTCATTCATCCGCTACACATGCGCCGGCTCATCCAGTGGCCGGTAATAATAACGCAGTGTACAAAAACCTTCAGGCCGATACAGACAAGGACGTTTTACTGTCGGGTATCTCCCACGGTTATTGACAAAGATGCCACCCCGCAGCCCGTCGAAAACGACAACCACAAATCTGCAAGTATGTCTAGCAAATTGTTTGATATAGCCACAGGTGCCATATGGAAAGAAATAGACAACGGAAACTCTATTATAGCCGTCACAAAACCCAAATAGTGAGTCCGATCGGGGTTATCCCCAAATCCGAGGGCGAAGTTCGCTTAATTCACGACTGCAGCTTCCCGCCAGGCGCAGCGGTCAATGATTATGTGTCTGACTTTGATCATCACCGGTTTCAGACCGTGGACCCTGCAGCGGCGCTGATGCAACAAGGTTTTTATATGGCGAAGTGTGATCTTAAATCGGCGTGTCGTTCAGTGCATATTAGCCCTGCTAACAGAAGGGTCGCCGCCTTAAAATGGTGGATAAACGGGCGTTGGTGCTACTTACATGACACTAAGCTCCCTTTTGGGGCTAAACAGAGCCCTGGAATTTTTCATCGACTAACCCAGGCAGTGCATCGCATAATGTACCGTCTCGGATATCCAAATGGTGGTCTACCTTTTTTTGTGTGTTCCCGCTCGAGGGAATCCTGTGCAGAGGCCCTGGCCATCTTCATTACACTACGTCGCTCTCTTGGCTTTGCGATCAATGGGAATAAGATGGTCCATGCCAGTGTTTAAAACTTCGTGCTGGTCGAGACTATCGAAAACTCAGCTACAATCGCTCGCAAGAAAATTACATTTTGCAAGCAGTTATATGCGGCGGGCGAGTAATATGCCATCGTCTCCTGAACTGCTTGAACAACCCTAATCCTAAGCACCATCGCACGCGCATTACGGGTCAGTTGCTGGCCGATCTACTATGGTGGAAGCATTGCCTTGCTTCCTTAAAACTCTATTGCTAAAGCTGTTTCCAGTGACATCCATCGAGATTATATAATGGTGACTGGTTTTTCCTTCATTGGGACACTGATTTCCTTATAAAGAGAAAATACTCGTGATTGCTGCTTTATGTAGATGGGCCTCTCGCCTTTCTAATAAGGGGATCACGGTAGCTAAGTGGATAAGACGCTGGCTCACTAGCCTGGAGGTCGGGTTTCGATCCCTGCATTGGCCGAGAAAGTTCATCCAGATTTTCCGGCGTGGTTCCCCCTTGTCAGTGATGCAGGACGGAGAACCTGTCTAGTTGTTCGGATGGGACGAAAAACCGAGGTCCCGTGTACACATTGGCGTGCACGTAAATGATCCCTTGAATTCGATATAACTAAAGAGTAGGCCGTAGTGCCGCTGTCCTGGCAAATTTCCCTCATAGCACACTCCACCCCCCCCCCCCCCGCTAAATACTACCTGTAACAACTTATTGCGGTAATAGCTCACCTTTGCACCACCCTTTGTTTCCATTCAGTTAACTTTTATTTAAATATTGCCCGTCAAGTTCACCTACAAACTGCGTTGCCCAACCCCCTGGATTCCTGGGATGTATCGATTTGGTTCCAGGGAGTTCGCAGGCACCTTGGACAGTCTATTAATTACCCCGGACATTCTTCGCCAAATATGCAGGTGCCTAACTTACGTCTGGGCAGCCTGTCTTGTAGCGTTCTTTTCCTTCTTTCAGCGGGGTTGGATGGCCGAGTGGTTAGCGCGCGCCCGCTGTATCATAAAGTCTGTTATTAAGTCAACTTGCGTGGTTTTGATTCCCCGGTTGTACGCCTGTTCAACCTCGTGGGTTCCCTCCAACTTTTAAAGACCCCTATGCGCAAGTGAATTATTGACAAAATATTGAACCATGTTAGTCCCGCCATGACCCAGCTTGTTGTTTGAGTCGAGTGGACGCCCCACTCCCCCCACACCCACCTCTTTTAGAAATCGAATTGACTTACGTTAATTGTTTACGCCGCTCCGATTTCCATTTTACTCATTATATTTGCTATTTACACGTTCGATGGTTAAAGGTAATCCAATTTCAACAGCGAGAACTGATAGTCCCTTGCCGAACTATTCCTAACTATCTGCATTGTCTCGTGACCGCCTGTCGCTTAGCTTTTCGCACCAGTCCGACCCCTTCCCATACCCCAGCGTTCACTTTTCTTGGCGGTGGGGTGCTTAAACTCCCCACCTACTCAACCCGTCAGACTATGCAGAACACAGTGTAAAATCCCAGCAGATCTCATCCGGATTCAAGGTGACTGGGCCAGTAATTGTTCCCAAAATACCTAGACCCGTCTCCTGAACTCCGCGCAGAAGTGGTCTTAATCATTGCCCAGTCACTATCCTAAATAACAATTTCAACCACCACCCTGTATAATGTCCTTTTAAGGTTTGGACACTTTGCGGCTTTGTTGTTCAATTGCTTTTTATAAATGTCAACTACATATATTCCCCTTACATCAATAAAGTTTCTTTGTGTCCAAACCCCTCGTCGTTATTATTACAGTTTTTATGAAGTAAGGGAAATTAACCGATTTTAACGAAACTTGAAATATAAGCATGCATCGCACCGTAACTTAACTTTATGGATTATAGC